GGGCAGACCCAATGCCCACTCATCCCCAACAAGCATGTCCTAAACGGCGACTAATTAAGGGTTTGCTGGAAGTGGATGTGCTGAGGCCCAAGGTGCATATATCGTAGACTAGCTGTAAACCACAATACAATATCAAACTCAGACTAGAATGAGCTGACAACATGCAGAAGTCTTGCCTCAAGAAATATCTTGGCTGAACACACCAGCGAAAGAGCTGAAAGACTGAACACACCCGGGAAAGAGCTGACAGACTGAACACACCAGGGAAAGAGCTGACAGACTGAACACACCAAGAAAAGAGCTGACAGACTGAACACACCAGGGAAAGAGCTGACAGACTGAACACACCAGGGAAAGAGCTGATAGACTGAACACAACAGGGACATAGCTGACAGACTGAACACACCAGGAAAAGAGCTGACAGACTGAACACACCAGGAAAAGAGCTGACAGACTGAACACACCAAGAAAAGAGCTGACAGACTGAACACACCAAGAAAAGAGCTGACAGACTGAACACACCAAGAAAAGAGCTGACAGACTGAACACACTAGGGAAAGAGCTGACATACTGAACACACCAGAGAAAGAGCTGACAGACTGAACACACCAGGGAAAGAGCAGACAGTCTGATACTGTCTGATAAGTCTGATACTGTGGTATAGGGTGTTCAGGCTGGCTGAGCCACAAACAGGACTGCATCTCTAGCAGAGTAGAAACTTTTCTCCTGAACCAGTATCAATATCATAATTCTTTGCCTTAGACTCTCTTCTCCACACAAAAGGCAGCAAACTATTTAAATTATGTACATTTATTTCAAGAAGAATTAAATATTCACACCATGTTTTAACTGTAACAACCCAACAATGACATCATAAATAACTGTAAACATTTATCATTTCTTGTTTCCCTTGAAATCCTTCCTGGCATGGTTTGACTGACACAAACAGGAAACCAATCTGGTATGGCTGATGAGCTCACTGGTTTAACATGGCTAACAAAACTTCCAACTTTTCCAAAAAAGAAATAGAGAAAATCATAAATATGCTGCTTAAAACAGGAAAAGTAGTTATCCGGTGGCACGTTTTTAATTAGTTTGTAAATAAAATACCTTATTCGGGTATGTGAAAAGCAATCAGAGCTGTCCAATGTGATCTAATTTGTCCACTGGCTTGTACTGCCATTCAACCGGGTCTATTGTACTGCCGGTCAACCGGGTCTATTGGACTGTCGGTCAACCGGGTCTATTGGACTGTCGGTCAACCGGGTTTATTGGACTGTAGGTTAACCGGGTCTATTGGACTGTAGGTCAACCGGGTCTATTGGACTGTAGGTTAACCGGTCTAACATTTTACAAGAGAACTCTTCATCAAGTAAAGACAACCGCCATGATCTTGACAAACTTTCCTATCGAAAGCTGTTTGGCGATACCGGGTCAACATTTTACAAGAGAAATACACACCGACTTGAGCACCATATACCCAATATGCATTATTTCGTAGAAATGGTCCCCCCTGCCTGTCGCCAAACATAGAGTAGACAAAGTCAGTACAGTAACGGGTCTTTTTTACGCCTTCAGGCCTACTTGACACATAGGGCTAGACCTATAATATAGACCAATCAGCACTCGGTGCGTGATGTGGTCAGCATCACGCCGGCTGCCTTTATTTCCCAAGACTTCGCCTGGTACTCATTTAAGACTGTGTCAGCCTGGGAGCCAAAACCAACTTCACATGTCACTGATGACATTTTTATATTCTGGTAGATAGATACTATGGGATATCATTGTTACATTTCCATACATATACAAGCCATACAGAAATACACACGGAAAGTACAGCGAAATCAAGCGGTTGAAATAGGGCAATGTGACATTGCTTGTTCTTCCGTTAGCGTTAATTTTAGTATAAAATATTTACGACTGCAAAGTGATTCCATTTGCAGATAACATCAGAGTGTGTCCCCTTACAGCTACCAGTCCTCTTGTACTGATCAAATCACTGGTAGCTGTATGACCGCCGTTTCAGTCTGTTAGTTTCGTATCTGGACTATGCTGAAAACAAAATCTCTCTTCTGCGTGAAACAGGCAGTGAATTTAAAATCACTTCTGCTTGAACCAACGAGGGGATAGCGCGTCGCCTCTCTACACGCCGCACAGAGTCGAATTATTATGGTTTCCAAATGATTTAACTAAAAGATGCATCATTTCTGTATAAGCCAACCAGTAAGTAAAGTATCACTACTGTGTAAGTCAGCCAAACGACATTCTGTCGCATTCCCAAGAATCAAGGAGCGGATGTAATATTACTTCTGAGGCATCAAATGACAGTGATATTGTTTGTCTGTGGGACAGTTTCATGCGCCATGGTGAAGGCGAGCAATGTAATTCCTGTGTGATCAAACTAACATGAATATTATCATTCCTGTGTTATCAAACAAGACTAGCACAGCTTGTTATCATTCAGAGTGTGCATCTCAACTAACCAATGATTTTAATCGAATTCCTGTGTCCAAAATAACTGAAATATTATCACGACCAATGGATCAAACTAACTGTGAATTTTATATGTGTATATGTGATCAACTAACTGGAATTTTATCATTCCTAGGTGATCAAACCAACTGGTATATTATCATTCCTGTGTGATCAACTAACTAGAATATTATAATTTCTGTGTGATCAAACTAACTGCAATATTATTATTGATTGTGATCAAACTAGCTGGAATATTATCATTCCTTCTGATCAAACTAACTGGAATATTATCAATTTGATGTGCATCAGCTTCTCAAGCACAGGAATCTGGGTCAGAGGTGAAAGTGGCATCTTATCTGGGCGAAAAGATCCATGGATGTATTCAAGTCTCCACACGAAGGGAAAATAAAATAACGACCATGGATCGCTAATCTGGACAGCCGTCAATGTGTACGATGTGAGGAAAATACTGCAGATAGGATTATCTCTGGCATTCATAATAAACTGTTGCATGCGTTATCGTGTGGCAACATTCTGGTTTGATATGTCTTCTGGACACAAAGTGGCAAGTCATCCTTCTAAGAAAACTTTCACTGATTTTAACTATGTGGCTTGGAGATATCAGCCCTCAGAAGATTCGAGGTCATCATAGCTGATGTGCAACAGCTTCTCAAGCAACGGGAATACAAAACACCGATAACGAAAGTCTGTAGGTACTGCTTCTACGAAGGCATCCAGGTTTGTACCTGTTTTACTCGACCACTGGTCAGCGAAATTATACCATGTTTACTTCTGATGCTGGAATATGTTTAATTGATCATTTAAGTTTTAGATACAGATTGCATGATTATAAAGGTGGCAATAATGATGTTGGTGGGTATCGTGGGCAACGGTCTGGTGTGTTATGTCTTCTGTTGTCGACTTAAGGCTGGGACTCAGAACTTTCTGATCGTGTGTCTGGCCGTGCTGGATCTGCTCACTTGTATCATCTGCATGCCCAATGAAATCGCTATTATACGGTTCTACTACACCTTCGAGTCTGTAGGCACATGCAAGATAATGAGGTTTGTACCTGTTTTATTATCTATCCCCTCAGTTAAGAGATTATTGTATGTTTATAATGGTGGAATATGTTTTATTGAATTATTTAATTTAGAGGTTATTGCATGATTATGAAGGTTGAATATGCTTTATTGTACCGCTGAGTCAAGAGATTATTGAGCTTTGTATATGCTTTTTTTGTAAGATTGAGTCCAGAGATTGTTGCAAAATTATGAGGTTTGTATGTGTTCCATTGTACCATTGTGTTAGTGGGTTCCTGTGAGATTATGCGATCGTGTGTGTTAGATTGTATCATTGAATCCATCATTGAATATATCATTTAATCCATAATTGAATCCATTTGATTTTTCTGTTCCCCTTCATTTTCTTTTTCCATTTATGTTTCTAACTAGTGCCGTGTGGCGTTACTTTCGAGTTGAACTATTTATAAAAACATATGTTATTCAATGTCATGATACAAACTTTAGAACAGCCTGCACCCCCTCCCCCCTAGCGCCCCACACGCCGCCCCGCACACTCCCTTCCAACCTTTGTTTCGTCACAATTTGACCCAGTTTACTTAACATGAAGTGCCAAAAAGAAAGTAGAGCATCTACTTTTGTTCATGATAATAACTTCTCTTCGTATTTCAGTTTCTTTCCGGACATCTTCCTGTTTTAACCTGGCTATGGTATTCCGGTAATTCCTGTAGAAATCCACATCTTTGACTTCATTCCCATAATATGCATATCATTACATTAATATAATATGCTTTATTGATGAAATACAACTGCTGTGTGAAAGATGGAAGTTTGGAAGGGCCGAATGTAAGACAGGCCTGCGTGTGCAATTTGACAAAATAAAGTTCGTTCGTTCGTTCGTTCGTTCATCTTGACAGTCAAATCCACTCCCACATATCCGGTTCCAGCAACCAAAGGGGCTGTTGACGATGGTTCTGCCAACGTCCTGTTAAGGATGACGAACTAACGTTATGATGATGACGAAGTTGACTTCGATCATGTTGACAATCATGAATGTTGTTATGTGTCACTGTAGATGATCATGATGTAACATGTTTTAAAAAAAACACTCCAGTTTCGAAATAAAACTGAATCAGAAATACTTAAGCAACAAATAAAATGGAATGTTAAACTGTGACAAGCGAGGTTAAAGAGAGCAGTCTGGGCGTATATTCCTACACAGGCATTTGAAACTGGAAAGAACAAAATTCACAAGGTACATATGCGCCAGAAATCGCAGCGTGCTTTCCTTTCAGTACACCGCCCAGTCCCAATTGTGTCGCTTCAACAAAATGACAACATTTAAAATATTGATGCAAAATTTCAAAAAACGTACTAAAGCATCGATCATGGTACCAAAAATACAATTTTTTCAGCAATGGTAAAATCTACCAAAAAAGTACGAAAGTACTTCGGCAACCCTGGTTATGACACCATTTTACAACAGTCCTCTCTACTCCATAGGTTCATGAACACGTTCTGTGCCCTCGGCTCCGCCTTCACCTTGGTGGTTATCGCTGTCGACCGCTACAGGAAGATCTGCAGACCGCTTCATGGACAACTACAGATGGTCCACGTCCGCCTGTCGCTGATCCCAGTGTTTGGTGGCGCTCTGCTCTTTAGCTGGCCGGCGTTGATTATGTACGGGCTCCAAACTACAAAAACCGACATTCCCGGACTCTTTGGTCAAAGCTGCTTAACTCTAGACAACTTGAGAGAGACCGTGTTCCCGCTTCTGTATACCTTCATCGTGTTCCTTGTTTGCATCGTTCTGACAATCACCATTGTGGTTATCTACACGCTGGTGCTAAGAGAGACAAAGCGACACAGCCGGTACATCAAAAAAAATTCTGATTTCAACATTCCATCCTCGGGCTTTTACAACTCAGAAGAATTGTACTCAAGTGGAGAGGCCAACCCAGTAGACCCCAGGCCTGCTGGTCCTCACAATTCTGCTGAGACAACAGGACCAACAGTTCAGATCGAGCCTGGTCCTGTTTCACCTTTAGCCAAAATAACGCAAACTCCAGCAGTGTACCCACAGCTTATAAAAGTAACAGCGTTATTAGAGTCAGCTAGCAATGAACCAGAAATGTGGGATTCACAGTCACAACCAACCTTGACCGGTGCACTAACTGGTTGTGATGACACAAACAACACACCACTCTACTTCCCACATTCAGCTTTACCATCGACATCAGATGACATCCAGTTAGCGCCCAACTCTTCCCCCATCATCAAACCATCTAGTTTAGTGTCCAGCAATGGAAGTCGCAAACAAGGGTTCTCGTGTAGTTGTGTTTAGTGACAGTCAGGGAAACAGTATAAAAATACGGAGACAGCTCAAAAGTAAGACTACGGTGATTGCCTTCACAGTGACTGTGGTGTTTATCCTCAGTTTTCTTCCCCATCTGTGTCTTCAAGTGACCATATTTCTAGTGAAAGGGTACGACTCCCACCTCGAGGGTTCGGCGTTAGTGGCCATCACCTTTTTCCTCCGGTCCCGCTTCATCAACGCAATCTCTAATCCTTTCATTTATGGAGCTCTTAATGTTCACTTCAGTCGAGAAGTCAAAGATTTGATCAAGAAAATAATTACCAAGTCCTGAATTACTGTGGTGATGTTCAACGTGTCACACCAAAGATGATTGTGTTCCACATATCAAGTCTTAGATAACAGTGATGATGTACATGCATATGAAGTTCTAAATAACTGTGATTACCTTCAACATATAAAATCAGATATGACAGTGATTATCTTCAACATATTTGAAGTAAAATAGGGTTTAGGCAGGGGTTAAATGAAGAATGCATACATTCAGACCAGCATCAATGCATGCCAATCCATCACTGGGTGGCACGATAGAAAACGGTGATTAGAACGCTGGTCAGACAAGGCCAAACAGATACGCCAGTAACCTTTGGGGGAGTACGTAGGAACAGGTCACTGTGACCAAGGTTGAATAGAGTACGTTTATCCAAATAAAGCCGTGACATCTGACACTGACGGATGTATACGTATGATAAGTGGTCAAGCCAAGAAACTATATAAGAACCTGGTCAGAAGAGACCAAACGAAGATGCCCGAGAGAGACTGAGGTCGAAAAGTTCTCAAGGAGGAAAGAGGCAGGTGTCAGATAAGACAAACCACGAGAGCATCAAGGAATGCAAACGACCACCTCACGACGGTAACATGGAACAGGATGAAGAGTGACAGACGGTGATTGATAAACCACGCCGGGAAGAGAGAAGAGGCGGGTGATAAGAGGAGGGCAAGCGAGGGGAGAGTAGGGACAGTCAGTGCCTAGAGGCTTGAGAGAGCAGTTGACAAGAACTCTGCTTTGCTAGAAGAAAAATATTCAACTTTGGTTTTGCTTTGCTAGAAGAGATGAAAGAACTTATCGTCAGACATATGAATAGCCAGTAATAAGGTACTAGAATTTTATACAGTTACATAAATTGCTGGACGCAATTGTACAGTAACAAACTGAATCAGTAACAGTGTTTTAGATTGTCTACTTTTATTAATTTAATTAACTGCTTGATGCCGTGGCTAGCACTAGTAAGCGAGCAAAGGTGAAATGTGAAAATCGTGCATTCAACAGTGACTGGAATATTTATTTATATCACTAACCCTGCCTAATTCGAAACCAGTATGCTAGCTTTTTATTTCTTTAATAATGAACTCGGCAACCTTAACCGATCGATAATATAAATATTTTAAAAAGCTTCAGAATAATTTCAACAACAGATTTGACGACTTCAATTTCCCAAACAATGTAATGTTACTCGTTCGAGAGCCTTTTAAAATCCATCTGCTTGTGATTTTTCTTCTAATGCTAAGAAGTTGATATCCTCTGTTGATGAAGGTTCTCTGCAGTTAGAACTTGTGGATATCCAAAGTTCCTGCGCAGTGAATTAAGATTTTAAAGAAAGCGGTACTGCCAAGTTTTGGTAAGAGAGGATTCAACAAGACCTGTTTTCTAATGCTAGAAAAGTTGCTGTATTCATACTGACCATGTCTGGCTCAACTTGCACTTGTGAATTAAGCTTCTCACACATGAATGTCATCAAGACAAACAGTCGGAGCTCACTGAGCAATGATAGGCTGCAGGATTGCATGAGAATTGCTCTAACTTCTCACCAGCCAAATTTGGTAAAATTCGCTTAAAAACGAAAATGCTGCATTTCCCATTAATTACATTTTTTATCGTTATACCTTTCGGTTTCTTCTGCAGTACTCCCGTTCAAATCGATAACCGAAGAGTTTAAAGTCGGCAAAGTAAGACTCGCCATGCTCTTGCGCGAGTCTTCAGACCCAAATGTCATCGTTGTCCAGCCCGCTCTAAAGACTGGGCAGAAGTGGAGAGTCCTCGATGCGATTGAATCTGCGCAGAACGCACTAAAATTGAAGGAGATAATGGGATACACTCAAACCGACCGTCGAGGCCTAGGGCACGGAAAGGTCAATTGGTGGTCAAAGGCCTCAGCCAAAGAACACCGAGACATGGTAATACAAACGGTGAGGGACAACGAAAACGAGGTTCGGGTCCAGAAAGCAGCCCAGCAGTCGCAGCAGGGCCATTGGGTCAGCCTGGAGAGCGCATTGCCAAGAGTACTCACATAGGGTGAGATCTGGCGGATGACCCCGCTGCGACTGAGCTTTATCGTTCGTTCGGCGTATGATGTATTACCGTCCGGTGTTAACATAGTTAAGTGGTCTGCGACCAACGATCCGACTTGCCCGTTGTGTAAAGTGAAGCAGACGCTTGAACACGTCCTGTCCGCGTGCAGGAAAGCCCTAGGCCAAGACCGATACACATGGCGACACAACAAGGTGCTAAAAGAGTTAGCAGCCGTTGTCGACCAGGCTAGAATGAGGGCTAACACCAGAGCCAGTTCTACCATCGTCCCCATACGCTTACTCAAGGCTGGGCAGGTTCAAAAAGGTAAGGTCAACCGAAACGCATTCGCTCGATCTGTGCTAGACTCTGCGAGGGACTGGTTACTGGCGGTTGATCTGCCGCGCCATGATAGGTACCCTGAGTTGATCCGGAAGACCGGTCTGCGACCTGACATAGTCCTCCACTCTGCGGAGATACGGCAGCTCATCCTGATTGAGCTCACCGTCCCGTATGAGTCGAGTCGCGAATGGATGAAAATCACCTGTATTAGCTCGAGAAATACAGTGATTTAGCAGCCGGTCTGAGGAGAAACGAATCGTACACAGTACGGGTCTTTGCCATCGAAGTGGGAGCAAGAGGTCTCGTCTCCACTTCACTGTACAATGTGGTGAAAGAACTAGGATTGCGCGGTAATGAACGGAAACGAACACTTAAAAAACTGGGCGAGGTAGCCGAAAGGGCCTCGAGCTGGCTTTGGACGCAACGCAACAACGTAGGGGACGGGCCTCAGTGAGCTGGTCCGGGTCTCTAGCGGAAAAGGGTTTCTCACCCTTTGAAAGTCCATCGTGTCCGAAATGTCTGCTAGTGTTCCTCTGCCACCTGCTAACAAAAGTCCAACATGTGTCCGGTAAACCAAACGTAAGCTTGTCGCTCGGTCGTCCAGGCACGCTGACTGTTCTAATTAGGCTGCCGCAACGACTCATCTCACAGTACCTTCTGCGAAACCACCAATTCGTCTTGTCCCTATCCGAAAGAAAAACACCATCCGGTAATCTCGTGCAGCAGGGTACCAGCTTTGAGCTTCATGAACTCAGGTGGGCCCACCTCCGAAAGTGTCTAGGAATCGTGGGCTGAAACACTTGTCGACGAGGAAAATTTCTACTGATGACTGGTAGATCCCTGCTGTACTTGCTCCCTATGAGTTTATTCCTATGCAGAACACGAAACCAACTGTTGACAGTTATTATTATTATTGTGACAATGTGATGGAAGTGATAAATGTAACGTTCATTTATGATCCCAACGACAAGCTAGAAATACGTGTATTTCAATTAAAATTGATCCCCGTGTAGGTCGACTTATTTGGAGCTTCCTTCAAAGTCGGAGTAAATCTGCCCGAGAGCCAAGGAACCCACAGTCTGCATGCAAATGAGTAAGATGTGTAAAACGGATGTATACACAACACTCAGTTTCTGGAATAGGACTAGAGTACATAAGTAGACGTACAACTAGAACTTTCCGCTGGAGTTTACAGTGGGTGAACACGAAGAAGAAGAAGAAGAATTAAAAGTGAATTTAATTAATCATTACAGAAGATTGTAGTACACTTTACATTATAATGGTTTACAACACTGCTTCATTTATATAAGCTATGTCCTAGGTGTAATAGTTTTAGAGTGTATTAAATCTACAGATTGAAAATGTCAGTTGTAGTGTGGACTCTGGCCACTGGCCCGCGACGATCTCCATGCTGGCCACTGGCCCGCGAGCAAACTTAAGTTGAATAGCCTTGATATAGTGTACTGAATATATTAAATGAACACGACATATCCTTTAGTATTCTACTCTAGTTAATGATGAATCGACAATTAATTAAACTATTTACTAAACTGTAATAAGTGATTTTGAGCAAAGTACAGTTTGAACTCTGGGTTATGTGTTGTATCAATGTGTAAATGTGTAGTAAGTGTGTCTTTTGGAGAGGATGTACCCTGTCACAGAATTCTACCTGAGTGTTAAGATACCCTATTGAATAAAAAAGCCGTACTTCAGATCTCAGTACAACGAAAAACAAATTCCAGGTACCCCAACAGCCTAATGATTTATTGACCTCCCAGGCAGACTGACTGTTCTGTTCCAATGGTTTATTCATCACCCAGGACAGATTAACTTTCTGGTACCAAGGTCTGCCGTTTGGATGGACGCTAATAGAATGTGGGATCGTTGGATCTGATTTTTTGGGAGGCAAGAGGAAAGGAAAGTTGCTGGGTTGTCTTATCGCAAAGAGTAGTTTTTCTCTGGCTTTTGTCACCATGGCTCCCTTCCAACCAATGATTTCTTCTGTCTTCTGTCACCATGGCTCCCCTCGAACCAATGATTTCTTCTGTCTTTTGTCACCATGGCTCCCTTCCAACCAATGATTTCTTCTGTATTTTGTCACCGTGGCTCCCTTCCAACCAATGATTTCTTCTGTCTGGGGAGTGGGGAGGGGGGGGGACAGACCCAATGCCCACTCATCCCCAACAAGCATGTCATAAACAGCGACTAATTAAGGGTTTGCTAGAAGTGGATGTGCTGGGCCCAAGGTGCATATATCGTAGCCTAGCTGTAAACCACAATACAGTGTCAAACTCTGACTAGAATGAGCTGATAACATGCAGAAGTCTCACCTCAAGAAATATCTTGGCTGAACATACGAGGGAAAGAGTTGACAGACTGAACAGACCAGGGAAAGAGCTGACAGATTGAACACACCAGGGAAAGAGCTTACAGACTGAACACACCAGGGAAAGAGCTTACAGACTGAACACACCAGTGAAAGTGTTGACAGACTGAACACACCAGGGAAAAAGCTGACAGACTGAACACACCAGGGAAAGAGCTGACAGACTGAACATACCAGGGATGCTAACAAATGAAAGAGCTGACAGACTGAACACACCAGGGAAAGAGCTGACAGACTGAACACACCAGGGACTGAGCTGACAGACTGAACACACCAGGGACTGAGCTGACAGACTGAACACACCAGGGAAAGAGCTGACAAAATGAACACACCAGTGAAAGTGTTGACAGACTGAACACACCAGGGAAAAAGCTGACAGACTGAACACACCAGGGAAAGAGCTGACAGACTGAACACACCAGGAAAAGAGCTGACAGCCTGAACACACCAGGGAAAGAGCTGACAGACTGAACACACCAGGGAAAGTGTTGACAGACTGAACACACCAGGGAAAAAGCTGACAGACTGAACAGACCAGGGAAAGAGCTGACAGACTGAACATACCAGGGATGCTAACAAATGAAAGAGCTGACAGATTGACCTTCCTTGTCTGCAAGAATGAGACAAATATTGTATGGTTGGCTGGTAAAAGCCTCGGAAGAGCAAACTTTAACTCTTCAAGTCTGATACTGTGGTATATGGTGTTCAGGCTGGCTGAGCCACAAACAGGACTGCATCTCTAGCAGAGTAGAAACTATCCTCCTGAACCAGTACCAGTTTCACCATTCTTTGCCTCACACTCTCTTTTCCGCACAAAAGGCCTCAAACTATTCAAATTATGTACATTTATTAAATATTAACACCATGCTTTAACTGTAGTCAACATAACAATTACATCATAAATAACTTTGTAAACATTTATCAGTTCTTGTTTCCCTTGAAATCCTTCCTGGCATGGTCTGACTTTGCTGACACAAACAGGATGCCAATCTGGCATGGCTGATGAGCTCACTGGTTTAACATGGCTGACAAAATTTCCAACTGTTGCAAAAAAGAAACAAACAGAGAAAATCAAAAAAAGGAAAAGTAGTTATCCACTGGCACATTTTTAATTTGTAAATAAAATATCTTACTCAGGTAGGTGAAAAACAGACTCAAATGTTGTTTATCGTGTCCAGTGGTCGTAAATTGCGTGAGTTTTTGTAATCGTTTAAAAAAACGCTTTGGTCAATTGCGTTTAAGACCATTTTTGTGAGCATAGCCCATGGTGCGCGCATAAGAAAGTAACACAATTTGGAGTGAACACTGTTCACTGCCTATGCAATTGAAACCATATAAAAGGATAACGCTACACCAAAACATTCAGTTCATTCTCAAGCAGTCATGAATAGCGCCTCTATCGATAAACTGAAGGAATATTGCTATTGGCTCAATGCAGGCAGAAGAAAGTCAAAATCAGGTTGCCAGGCATCTAAATGTGCATCAGAGTACCATCAGTCGGCTTTGGCACCGGTTCCAAGCTACTGGTTCAGCCAAAGACCGACATAGCAGTGCACGACCCAGTGTGACAACAGCAGCGGACAATCACTTTATTCGGCTCCATCAGCTCAGAGACAGGTTTACAACAGCTTCCTCAACTGCACAGGCATTGCCTCCAGGACCTCATGTGTCTGATCAAACTGTTCGGAACAGACTGCATGATGTTGGACTTTGGGCATGACGACCACAAGGGCGACCTGTCCTTACGCATTGCCACCGCCAAAATCTACTTCTCTGCGCCAACCAACACTGTCCCTGGGCAGGTGACAATCAATGGAGATGTGTCTGGTTCAGTCAAAAATCTTTCATTTTGTTGCAGCGATATGATAGACGGCGTAGGGCCTACTGTAGACAAAATGAAGGTTTAGCCCAAAACTGTGTTGAGGAAGCTCTGCTGCGCGGTGGTAGAGGTGTTTTGGTGTGGGCAATGATCAGTTACAACAGAAGAAGTAAACTGGTGCACACTGAAGCAAGCTTGAATGCGAAACGATACATGAAGTTCTTCGACCACACGTTCTTCCATTTTGGGATGCCAACAGATTTCTTTTTCAACAAGTCAACACCAGACTCCATTCTGAACAGCTGACCATGCAGTTCCTGGCTGTCAACAACATTCAAACCCTCCCCTGACCATCCCTGTCTGCAGACATGAGTCTGTCTGAGCGCCTGTGGAATAATAATGTGATGTAATAGCACATCAGAGCTGCCCAATGTGATCTAACAGCATATCAGAGCTGTCCAACGTGATCTAACAGCATATCAGAGCTGTCCAATGTGATCTAACAGCACATTAGAGCTGTCCAATGTGATCTAACAGCACATCAGAGCTGCCCAATGTGATTTAACAGTACATCAGAGCTGCCCAATGTGATTTAACAGCATATCAGAGCTGTCCAATGTGATCTAACAGCATATCAGAGCTGTCCAATGTGATCTAACAGCACATTAGAGCTGTCCAATGTGATCTAACAGCACATTAGAGCTGTCCAATGTCATCTAACAGCACATCAGAGCTGTCCAATGTGATCTAACAGCACATTAGAGCTGTCCAATGTGATCTAACAGCACATTAGAGCTGTCCAATGTGACCTAACAGCACATCAGAGCTGCCCAATGTGATTTAACAGTACATCAGAGCTGCCCAATGTGATTTAACAGCATATCAGAGCTGTCCAATGTGATCTAACAGCATATCAGAGCTGTCCAATGTCATCTAACAGCACATCAGAGCTGTCCAATGTGATCTAACAGCACATTAGAGCTGTCCAATGTGATCTAACAGCACATTAGAGCTGTCCAATGTGATCTAACAGCACATCAGAGCTGCCCAATGTGATTTAACAGTACATCAGAGCTGCCCAATGTGATTTAACAGCATATCAGAGCTGCCCAATGTGATCTAACAGCATATCAGAGCTGTCCAATGTGATCTAACAGCACATTAGAGCTGTCCAATGTGATCTAACAGCACATTAGAGCTGTCCAATGTGACCTAACAGCACATCAGAGCTGCCCAATGTGATTTAACAGTACATCAGAGCTGCCCAATGTGATTTAACAGCATATCAGAGCTGTCCAATGTGATCTAACAGCATATCAGAGCTGTCCAATGTGATCTAACAGTACATCAGAGCTGCCCAATGTGATCTAACAGCATATCAGAGCTGTCCAATGTGATTTAACAGCACATTAGAGCTGTCCAATGTGATCTAACAGTACATCAGAGCTGCCCAATGTGATCTAACAGCACATTAGAGCTGACCAGACAGTGGGCCAGGTTCAACTCTCACCAGACCAAGATTGTCTCCTGACCAGTCCTGTGGCTAACCCAGTGGCATGCAAACTTAACATAAATTAGGTTTACAAAGTCTCGTGGAGGTAATGTCAAGAGCAAGAGCACTGGCCACCTGCCACCATCTGTCATGGTCTTGAGTATGTGAACACCTCACACCCCCAACAGGTGGTTTCAGCTATGGTATACCTTTAACTGAACAACACATGGTGTTGGGTGGGTAATATGAGGCAGCCATGGTTCAGCAGTTGATCAAGACCACACAACCATGCTTCTATTTTAATATGTTCATCTTCCGTATCATTTTACTTTTGCTGTCTTCGAGTGCTTCATTCCACATTTTATTAAACAAAACTTCAAAATGAGAACGGTTTAAAATACAAAAATTTTTGTGCATAAGTAACAAATATTAAAATCCTTTACCTCTCGTTCTTTTTCATTTTCCTCCTGAACTATTTTGTTCAATCTCTCTTGCATTACACTCTGAAGAGAAAAAAAAAGATTGTAAATAGAAAATTGAAATACTGTATATAGACTGTTCCTTGTCTCTCAGGCAGACGCACTGTGACTTCAAAGGAAACATTAGTCGACTTTCATTTTACAATCAGCTTGTTGGGGAATGGGGCAGGGACAGTGGGTCTATTAAATAAGGCCCTGAAAACTATATGGGGAGGTGTCTGTAGAACATAAAGAATTAAACGGTATGACTAAATCACTAATATTATGAAGAGTTTATGGAAAGAATTCAATGGTATGACATAATCACTAATATTATGAAGAGTTTAGGAAAAGAATTCAATGGTATGACAAAATCACTAATATTATGGAAAGTTTAGGGAAAGAATTCAATGGTATGACAAAATCACTAATGTTATGGAAAGTTTACGGAAAGAATTCAATGGTATGACAAAATCACTAATGTTATGGAAAGTTTAGGGAAAGAATTCAATGGTATGACAAAATCACTAATATTATGGAAAGTTTAGGGAAAGAATTCAATGGTATGACAAAATCACTAATGTTATGGAAAGTTTAGGGAAAGAATTCAATGGTATGACAAAATCACTAATGTTATGGAAAGTTTAGGGAAAGAATTCAATGGTATGACAAAATCACTAATATTATGGAAAGTTTAGGGAAAGAATTCAATGGTATGACAAAAATCACTAATATTATGGAAAGTTTAGGGGAAAGAATTCAATGGTATGACAAAATCACTAATGTTATGGAAAGTTTAGGGAAAGAATTCAATGGTATGACAAAATCACTAATATTATGGAAAGTTTAGGGAAAGAATTCAATGGTATGACAAAATCACTAATATTATGGAAAGTTTAGGGAAAGAATTCAATGGTATGACAAAATCACTAATATTATGGAAAGTTTAGGGAAAGAATTCAACGGTATGGCAAAATCACTAATATTATGGAAAGTTTAGGGAAAGAATTCAATGGTATGACAAAATCACTAATGTTATGGAAAGTTTAGGGAAAGAATTCAACGGTATGACAAAATCACTAATGTTATGGAAAGTTTAGGGAAAGAATTCAATGGTATGACAAAATCACTAATGTTATGGAAAGTTTAGGGAAAGAATTCAATGGTATGACAAAATCACTAATGTTATGGAAAGTTTAGGGAAAGAATTCAATGGTATGACAAAATCACTAATATTATGGAAAGTTTAGGGAAAGAATTCAATGGTATGACAAAATCACTAATATTATGGAAAGTTTAGGGAAAGAATTCAACGGTATGGCAAAATCACTAATATTATGGAAAGTTTAGGGAAAGAATTCAATGGTATGACAAAATCACTAATGTTATGGAAAGTTTAGGGAAAGAATTCAACGGTATGACAAAATCACTAATGTTATGAAGAGTTAAGGAAAAGAATTCAATGGTATGACAAAATCACTAATGTTATGAAAAAAAAAAATCACTAATGTTATGGAAAGTTTAGGGATGCAAAATTCAAGGATATGTTATGGACAAATGACTCAAACAAAAACACTAATGTTAAAAGAGGTTTAGGGAAAAAACATGGATATAAGAGAAATCCAAACAGACGAATAAAATGGCTCGGGTATGGAGCATACTGCAGAAGATGGGAATAGACTGGGTGCAAAGGTCCTAAGTTCCACAGGGCAGATAAAGATAGCTAAAGGGACCTTTTCCACAGCCTCAGGTGTGCTGAGCAGCTAGACATATTTGATATAAACCAAAGGGCACTCTGTGGGTGATGACACCAACACATCATGCCATCTGTGGGTGATGACGCCAACACATCATGCCATCTGTGGGTGATGACGCCAACACATCATGCCATCTGTGGGTGATGACGCCAACACATCATGCCATCTGTGGGTGATGACGCCAACACATCATGCCATCTGTGGGTGATGACACCAACACATCATGCCATCTGTGGGTGATGACGCCAACACATCATGCCATCTGTGGGTGATGACGCCAACACATCATGCCATCTGTGGGTGATGACGCCAACACATCATGCCATCTGTGGGTGATGACACCAACACATCATGCCATCTGTGGGTGATGACACCAACACATCATGCCATCTGTGGGTGATGACACCAACACATCATGCCATCTGTGGGTGATGACACCAACACATCATGCCATCTGTGGGTGATGACACCAACACATCATGCCATCTGTGGGTGATGACACCAACACATCATGCCATCTGTGGATGATGACGCTAACACATCATGCCATCTGTGGTGATGACACCAACACATCATGCCATCTGTGGGTGATGACACCAACACATCATGCCATCTGTGGGTGATGACACCAACACATCATGCCATCTGTGGGTGATGACAGCCAACACATCATGCCAGCTCCCTATACTCCTAGGCCATTCATGGCTGGGTAGACTTGGGAGCCAAGGTCAATTTTGACAAGTCTGCATTTAAAACCACAACTTTCAGATTCATAGGAGCGTCTAGCCGCTGCAACATGGCAACTGCTGATGAAGACGAGTGGGCAAGTTGAATCCAGTTAAACAGAATTTGGGAATGTTCAGCAAAATCTAGTTAAACAGAACTCTGGAAGGTTCCATAAAATCCAGAGTTAAAATGAACTACAGAGAGGTTAGCAATGAAAATTTAGTGATGTGTAGAGTGAAAACATAATGAGAAAGTTTAGAGACATCTAGAATGAAAACATAACTAGAGAAAGTTCAGAGACATCTAGAATGAAAACATAACTAGAGAAAGTTCAGAGACATCTAGAATGAAAACATAACAAGAGAAAGTTCAGAGACATCTAGAATGAAAACATAACAAGAGAAAGTTCAGAGACATCTAGAATGAAAACATATCTAGAGAAAGTTCAGAGACATCTAGAACGAAAACATAACTAGAGAAAGTTCACAGAAGCCTTACTTTGAGCATGTCATCCTCCTGAGTGGCAACCTGGTCCTCCTCTTGTGATCTCCTTTCCCTGATTTCATCCAGCTGCTTGACCAGCTCCTTCAGCTTCTCCTGCAGTTCAGCTGTAGAGGACAGGCAGCAGGCCACAGTTTTAGCAGATCATCAACTATAATTATCTCCTCTCAGATAGCAAAGAGACAAGTCAATGTTTAACAAACAGAGACACAAGTCAATGTTTACCCGATAAGAAAGCAACAACACAAGTTGATGTTTACCGGATGGGCAAACAGAAACAAGTGAGTTGAGTGGAGTCAAGAACTGACATCACAGCACTCAGGGCATTCCCATGCATGCTCCATCCTCATCTTCAGCAGCCAGCGCAGAGTTCCAATACTGATAGTACCAGTCACAATCTGGTTAAATGTCCGTCTTGCCTTTCCTCTGAGTATAGCAAGCCGGCCAGACCCTCCTGTTACACCCAGGTGCCTCATTCTCTCCAGGCCATAATAATCTTGTTTCTCTAAGGATTCCGTTGCTTGATCCCAAAGGGTCTTGACCACATCTGCCTTTTCCTGTATCAATTCACCACCCAGTGGTGCGGATCTAACCAATCTGCCTGTTCATTACCCATCATGCCGGCAGAGTCCTGGAGAAAAGATCTAATGTATGCTCACTACCCATGACCTTTCCAGTAAAGCTTGCCACTCTGCTCGAAGCATCCCTGTCTTCGACTTTCTCAGCATGCTTTCAGAGTCTGTTACAATTACGATATGTGTATGCATCTTGTTCTCTAGCCACCAGAGATCTGCAGTTACCACCTCCATTCTCATGGTAGCAGTTATGTACCATATGCAAGGCTATCTTGCACTGATTCTAAAGATTTTCAATTGACTTTTGCTATGCCCCCCCCCTTTTCTCTTTTGTCTCAACACCGAACTATCTGTATAGATAATCAGATCAACTGGGGATAAATTGTCATGAATCAACTGTTGGACTTCCACCTCCGTAACACTTGCTGGCCACTCTCTGCACACCCGGCCCAATGTGATCATAACCCTACACAGGTCAGACTTTTCCTCTGGTAACTCTGACCCACCCTCTCCTTGCCCAATGTTCTCCAGCATGCATGCAGACACAAATGAATGTTTTGCCAATCAGCAAACAGAGACACAAGTCGATGTTTACCCAATGAGTAAACAGAGACTCAAGTAAATGTCTTTTGTAATGGCTTATCCAACAAACAATAGAGGAAAGTCATGATCTCTCGTACAATTCAAACAAACTCTAGCAGCTGCAAGATGACAGCATTATCAGTACCAAAGCACCGGGACTATGGAGACTATCACGCAGAAATCTTCTTTGGCAACATTCAGAAACTTAGCCAGTTTGCAAGACTGGCACTGAAATTGCCTATTAGTGGAAAGCTACAAACAAAAACCAGGCCATAAATCAATAAAGCATATACAATGACTGGCTGGAGTGAGATTTCAACGGCTAATGTATGCTCCAGTGATTCTAGGTATTTCATTGTCAACAGTCTTTAACATAAGAACAAGGGCCTATACATTATCTTTAATTGTCCCAGTAACTACTGACCACGGAGCAGAAAAATAAGAAAATGGGACAAAAATTAACAGGAAACAAAAATTGGCGCAAGGACTAGGCAAGGAAAAAAAGAAACAGGTTAGGTGATTAAAAAAAAAGGACACGATGAAAGAATGTTACCTGTCTCGTTGTCCGTCATGCCAACTTCCTGACTGTCGGAGACAGCCCTATCCAAGGCTGCCATTCGACCCCTTGGTGTTGTTGGTCCTCTTGACATATCATCCTCCCCACTGTCCATTATGTTGACATCTTTCTCATCGTCATCTTCTTCTTCTGAAGAACTCAGCTCACCGAAGAAAGATGCTATAAAATAAGTAAGAACAGGTCAAAGAAACGAGCAAATAATGGCTCAGTGAATACAGAAATTGCTGTGATGTTTCTAAGAAGCAATCCTACCTATCAGGTAATCGCAGTTCCAACTTCATAGCAAACTGATCACTCCCATAACTGGTCAGTTTCTGGTCCAGTGAGAACCAGACACAATGTCCATCACTGTCCCTTGTGGAAACAGCTGACATAGATTGCAGTCTTAGCTCATCATAAATTAAAGCAGAAGTTACAACAAATCAGTAGCTGCACAGAAAATTAATCGCATAAGGCAACACAAGTGATCTGTCAACAGGCAATTTACAACATAAACCATGTTGGGCAGTGAAAAAGTTTTCCAAATGAAATTCATAGCTCACAGTGTCGCACCATGAGCTCAGCTCAGTAGCTAGGCAACAACTAGCTACTGTCAAACAGCTAGCCACAGCAAAAAACAGTAACGCTGTCTCTCTACCACATTTAACTGAATTCCGCCTAGCTAACGCAACAATCTTCGTCATCCCCTTTGTGGGAAGCAATTTTTCGTTATTTTGAAGCCCCACCCTGGCTGTTGCCAGGGTCCACAACATAGCCTAACCGTTAAATGCAGTTTTCAGGACCTCTCCACAGTTGATCCTCATCCACATGGTGGCACTTTGTGTCACTGGGTGTTTATCGCTGTGTGATGTCCTGATACGGTAAAATTTACTTACTTATGTAGCAAACTCAAGGCAGCAGAGAATCCTGAAACTACCATACTGGATGACCAACAGTGCTGGATGAAAGGGTTTCAGGTTTAGAAACTAAGTATCACAGGAAAGTCTCAAGATCAGTGGTTCTCAACCTGTGGATCATGACCCCTTTGGGAGTCAAATGACCTTTTCAGGGGTTGCCTAAGACCAAGACTTTAATCTCTGGTGGCACTCAGAATCGCCAGAGCTATGAAATCCCACACCATTGCTGAGGATTTGCTGTTTCTGGCAGCAGGTTATGTTTTGTTCAAGTTACGATCGCAGATGAATTTGTTATGAAGCAGAGTGCAGTTTCCTTATCAAACGACTGTCTGCAGAAGAATAGATGACACGTCTGCTGATATTCTTGATCATGTAATCCAGGAAATAAAATCTTGCTCCACTATCAATATTCAGTATCGTAACAGTAGCAAAATTACAGTTGTGAAATAGCAACAACAATAATTTTATGGCTAGGGGTCACCACAACATGAGAAACAGTATTAATAAGTCACAGCATTAGGAAGGATGAGAACCAATGCACAAGATGATGACACACATTCAGCACCCCTGAATGAAGACCTCACAGTTATGATGTAAGCAAGTGTGCTGTATACCTAAATTCTTCATGTCATACAAAAGTGTGCACCTCCAGCAGTGGGGTTCATGCAACAAAATGAAATTTGAAAAATGCTAAAATGTGGTACTGTTGAAACATCTCAAGACGCTGACCCAGTCATAGCCCCAACAATTCTATGGTGAACTTACCAACATCCAGAGATGTGCCCGTATCCATTCTGGCCAAGTGGGTTTGGGAGTTTGATGCTGAAGCTGATGGGTCCAACGTCTAGGAACAGAAATCTTTGGCAATTATAAATGACATAACAAGGTTTCATTAAAATAAAAGTATGAAAGTTTCAGAATAGACACATGTTTTAAAAGAGGGTAGGGGGGGGGGGGGGGGTTATTATGTCAACATAAGAAGCAACATGGTATTTCTATGTGTGAACCAGGAAAGACAATACAAACAAAAAGTACTTCCCGTTTCAGGGTAGAGAAGGGAAAACTAAAAAAGAATGAAAGCACTGCCACATGACAGTCTAAGATAGAGACAGGACTGATTGCTTACCTGTGACATGCCAGAATCTGACAAACATTTTTCATCATCAACAATGATTTCAAACTTGACATCAATGGCATCAGAGTCATATCTGAATAATCTTCTCACTTCTTTTTCCACCTCAGGTTGGTCCATGTACTGGAAATATAAATATTGTAACACATTTAAATACTGTCTATCTCAAAGTGTTTTACTGTCTATCTCAAAGTGTGATAGCTTGTCTCTGTGTTTACGCTTACTTACGTTGTTTTAGCTTGTGTCTTACAACCTGTGTCTGGGTTTATGTGTCTTAACAGCATGTGTCTGGGTTTATGTGTCTTAACAGCATGTGTCTGGGTTTATGTGTCTTAACAGCATGTGTCTGGGTTTATGTGTCTTAACAGCCTGTGTCTGGGTTTATGTGTCTTAACAGCCTGTGTCTGGGTTTGTGTGTCTTAACAGCATGTGTCTGGGTTTATGTGTTTTAACAGCCTGTGTCTGAGTTTATGTGTCCTAACAGCCTGTGTCTGGGTTTGTGTGTCTTAACAGCCTGTGTCTGGGTTTATGTGTCTTAACAGCCACGGTTTGGGTTTATGTGTCTAACAGCCTGTGTCTGGGTGAAGGGTTAAAACTATAACAGTCGTGTCTGCCACACACATACATAGCTTGTGGACCTCTCATCTACAGTACAGATACCAACTAACAGCTAAAACTATTATCACTATCAATTGACACTGAAACTGTATAACTGCTTACCTTCTTTTTCAGTGTCTTGCGAAACCTCCTTTTTCTGACATTCTTTAGGGATGGAGTAACTGGGAACAAAGGAAAAGAGAAATGGTTAAACAGGCTGAAAGCACAAAATCCACTTTTGTTTTACAGAATTTACCAGCCATCGCTGTCTTCTGTGAATGTAATTTTGACAACAGTAAGGAAAAAACTTGCAGCTATATGAATGGGAGAAAAAAAAACAGCCCTGTTTGGGTATTTTCTTAGCCTCACAAATATGGGATCGTAATTCGGAGGACAGCCTAAATTTAAGATAACCTCAACCACATTTACAACCAAATACCCATAATGATGTGACAATAATGATGTAACAACACTGATGCTACAATAATGATGTGACAATAATAATGCGATAATAACAATGCGAACGAGCCTTACTTCCATGGTTCCAGGCATATTTCTTGTCCTTATCCTTCTTGCGGGGACTATCATTCTCATCTTTGATCCAGTCCTCCTCTGATTTACAATACAACATCTGCAAGAAATAAATTTACATTCACTGATGCGCTGATTCAAGTAACTATGATACATACAGGAACATAACTGGTTTATACTGACGATACAGAAGATCAGATTTGTAAATATTAGAAATGAAGATAAACAAAATAAAGGTTCGAGAATATAAATATATAAGGGACAACCAAATCAAAATAGAGAGAGAAAACTATGTAAGCAATAGTTAGCCAGAAAAGTTAAAGTATTCAACAGATAACAACTCTCACCTGAGAAATGTCTGCAGTTTTGTAAAAGGTTTTCTTGTCGACCGTTTTCAGCGACTCAATCACAGACGGAAGATCTACAAGCTGTAGAAAAATAGATCCAATTACCAATCAAGAAATGTTTTCTTTGAAATATTCTCAGCACATAAATATACAAGCAAGTCTAGTGTACAAAGGAGTCTTAGAAAGAAACCAGGAACCAATTTCTTCCCACGGACAGCTACATGGAAACATTTGACTTATGAACTAAATAATTTTCTTTATTTATATAAATTTAAAAAAAATACCCCATAAGAATTAAAATAATGACATCTGACATGAGAGAATGAGACTCACTTTGGCGTAGTAAATATCACCACCGTATCGCACGTAACCATGTCTCATGTTTGGGTCCAGCTCGATACTGAGCTTGTCCTTCAGTTGGACATTGGAAGTCTCTTTGAGGTCTTCATGAAGTTGTGCAGCTGCTTCCTGCCAAAAACAAATGTCATACAGATCAAATAGAAAGGAGGAAGGGTGTAGAGGTTCTGCAATATATTTAACACTGAAGGGGAAAAAGAGGTAGACATCTAGATAGGTTGCAAACTGGTACTTACGGTACTATTAACATGCCAACTCTTCACTGGGGACTGAAGAAAAGGGAAGGAGCGCACGAGGGAATGTCCCGAGTGCAGTCATGTCAATTCTTGATTGATTCATTCATTTATGGTGAGTTCAAGAGGGAAGTATTCCTTGGTTATGTATGAGAAGAGAGGCATAGGGATATATCATGAGTGAAAAGATCAGTAACGGAATAGCTAAGATGGTTGCATATCCTTTACTGGGCATTACAGAACCAACCACAGCATTTTTTTTTTACTTACTGGTTTTACTAGGCAATTTTAGGTTTAGTAGTCTGCCATTTCAGAATATCTTGGATGAAAAAGAGGAGAAATACTGACATCTTAAAAGATCTGAACATCAAGGAAGATTGGCTAATAAACAGCATCCTGTCTCGGAAGCTGAAAAATTTTGGTCATATCAAGCGCCACAACGGACTGGAAAAAATTATAGCAGAAGGCATGGTACCAGGAAGGAAGAGCAGGGGCCGACCAACATGAAAACAGGCATAGGTTATAAGAAATTCCTTGAGTATAAAAGTGAATGAGGCGGGAGAGCTGGCGAAAGACCGAGTTTCTTTCAGGCAGACCGTGATGACAGCGACGTTCTGCAAAGGAACACCATAGTCACATGACAAGACACAGGTTATTAAAAACAGCTGCTTAGTAAATACTAACATCTTCTTCCTCTTCGCATTCACCGGCTGTAAACTCAAATTGTTCATTACTTCGGAACTTTAGTCTGGTTCCACAACTTGAGTTTTACGTATATATCCATTTTATCATTATACAAATGTTTATTTGTATGCAGACCATTGGTTTCTCGCTTCGCAGGCAGACACACAGCACGGAGACACCCCTACTTAGTCTACTTGACAACATGTTAGGGGAGTTAAGTAAGTCTATTATTTTTTTCTCATCAAAAAAGGGGCTCCATAACCTAAACGGAACTGGGAAATATTAATAATGTAATGAATTGTTAAATTTAATATTGTCAGATATCGACATCAGCACACAAACTTTAAATAATACTAAACTTCACTACTAGTTTTTAAAAAAAGTTAGGGAAACATTGACAAAATTAATTCACATTTATTAGAAACAGAATCCGAAAGAATTTTTTTTAAGTGAATCTCCTTTGAACGGCATCATAAAATGGCGGCCATAATATGATGCCATTTAAAGAGAGCCAAATTGGCCACATTCTGGCCATAAAATATCAAAAAATATCCGAATGGGGCTCAGTTCTATAAAAAATATGCTGGCTCCGTATAATGAAACAAATGCTCTAACAGGGTCTCGGCGATATGTTACTTGCGGACCTGCTTCTGCGACTGTGCCTCACCGTCGAACATATACCCCACGCCGCGCGCAGCGGCGCAGATGGGGACTAAACAAGCAGTAGCTACCGCATCTCCTGCAACTTCCTCCAATTACTTTACTCGTGAGTCCCAGACACCTAGTTTAGCCCCCCATCCACGCCGCGCGGGGATACGCTCGGCGATGAGTTTAATCGCGTTTTGCGCATGCCGACAAGTCTGACATCTATCGCTGCTAAATCCTCAATCGGAAAAACAGTATTACTAATCACTTTCATTTCATCGTCTGTAATGTCTCAAAATTGTCAACGGTCGCTAATATCGCCTGCTAGTATCGTCTGCAGAAACGCTAGAAATTGTCAACGGTCGGTATTTATCGTCTGCTACTACCGTGTGCAATGTTGATATTGTCAAGTAATCCTAGTTTTGCCGCGATTTGTTCCTTGGCAGAAAGTGCGTATTTTAGAGATATGCCTGAACACCGTTCGGATATTTTACGGTCAGAATGTGGCATCATATTATGACCGCCATTTTATGATGCAGTTCAAATGAGAGCCTTTAAAGTTTTTTTTAACAAACAATAACTGTGAATAGCGCCACTGACTTTAACACAAAACATGATCATGTGTTGCTGTTGTGTGTGTTGTGAACAAGCAAGAATAGACTATAATACTATATAAATCAGTCAACACAAACTATTTCATTTTCATTAAAAATATTAACAATTTAGCTTTTTTGGCTCTTCTTTGAATCGTTCCCCAAAATGGCAGCTTTAATATGATGGCGTTCGAAAGAGAGCTAAATTGTCCAATTTATGGCCATAAAATATCCAAAAATATCCGAATGCGGGTCAGTTCTATAAAAAATATGTGCTGCCTCCAGATAACGAAACAAATGCTCTAACAGGGTCTCGGCGATACGTTGCTTGCCGACCTGCTTCTGCCAGTGTGCCTCACCGCCGAGTGTATCCCCCGCACGCTACGCGCGGCGCGGATGGGGCTAAACTAGATGGCTGGGACTCACGAGCGGCAGCTACCGCATCTCCTGCAACTTCCTCCAATTACTGTACTCGTGAGTCCCAGGCACCTAGTTTAGCCCCCATCCGCGCCGCGCGCAGCGGCGTGGGGGATACGCTCGGCGATGAGTTTGATCACGTTTGGCACATGCCAACAAGTCTGACATCTACCGCTGCTAAATCCTCCAATCTGAAGAACACAGTATTGCTAATCGCTTGCATCAAGTGTAGTGTCTCGAAATTGGTCAACGGTCGCTAATATCGTCTGCTAGTATCGTCGTCTGCAGAAACGCTCGAAATTGTTGTCAACGGTCGGTATTTATCGTCTGCTTCTAGTACCGTGTGCAAATGTTGATATTGATTGTCAAGTAATCCTAGTTTTGCCGCGATTTGTTCCTTGGCAGACAGTCCGTATTTTAGATATACGCGAACACCGTCGTTCGGATATTTTTGGATATTTTATGGCCAGAATGTGGCATGCCGCCATTTTGGGGAATGAATCAAAGGAGCGCCGCTTTTTTTTAAAGACAATAATTAATATGTTACTATTGTTACCATTTGTGATATTATGTCAAAATGCACAAGACAAGTGAATGACAAGTATTAATAATACTATATTATAATACAAGAAGGGCCAGGTTCAAGGTTCTTAGGTTCTCTCTCACCTGTGGCAGTCGCAGAATAAACTGCTGCTCCAAGTCAAACGTTTCTGGAACGGCGGCGCTGGCCGGTTCCTTTTTCTTGACACTTTTACCAGACATTGTAATGTGTCTTCGTCTGACTCGACTAAAGGAAATTATCGGCTGTTTCAGAGTTGTATCAGAGCGCGCTTGGTCACAAACTTTCCATCAGACTGAGAAGTAAACAATCCATGCCGGAAATGACGTCTTTGTCTATCAGCACGGCAACTGATGGCATTGTACACAGAGCTGACATCATCATCATGTTGCTGGTAGCCTGCAGACGCTTGCGTCAAAGCCATTCCTTAAAATAGCAGTTCATTTGCCGGTTAGTGGGCAAAAGCATAAAAAAGCGAACATTTTTTAGCTTAACTAAGAGATTAAAAAACAAGTGCTAAACCCAAGATGACTGTAAAATCACTGTCATTGTACAGAGAGATTGATAACTGCAAGGAGAAGGGATGCCAGAAATTTTGACATGTTGCTATCAGAGCTTATATTTATCAGCACCACCAGAGATAGGAGGAGCCGGGACGGGCAATGGTTGGTACACTTGCCTGCTAGTCATAGGTTCCCTTTCTCCATCCCCAACTTGACTGGGTAATCACATCAACCAAGCCTAGGATGATGAAATAATCTTGGATGATATTGCGGCTGGCGTGATATTTATCATATGACCTGCCATCTTTGACTGTTCTATACAAAAATGGGCTAAACATCATCTATCCAATGCTGTTCAAGATGTGGAAAAAAACTTTTTAATATAACTAACTTTTTGTTGCAGCGAAACATAATGAACACGTCAGCAATTCACAAAATGTGAAAAAAAAGAAGGTAAAGAAGAAGTGTAGATACTTGGTAGTATGTACACAAACGTTTCACATGCCTACAGAAAATTATAATGTGACTACACTACCACGTCAACGGATCTTACAACAAATAGTTTAACAACTGCTACCTCTGCATATGCCGCTCTAGAACATATACTGGATCGTGGCTCAGGGTTATTGGATCTCTCTCTTGAGGTTTTGCCTTCTGCATTAAGTTCTGTCATAAAAAGCGAATAAGGGAGAGTTTGTGTGAGACTGACGACCTTATCCTGTTGAAAACTGTTGCTACAAAACCCAACTAATCAGGTTATGTATACACAATGCCTGATGAGAGCTGACTGAAGTCTGTGCTTCACTGAGATATAAAAGGCTGAAGATAAAGAATAAGAAAGAAGTTATTGTACCTACATTCCTACCCACTGGGAGCCACCGTGGTATAGTGGCTCAATGCTCACCTGCGAATCGGAAGGTCATGAGTTAGAATCTGAACGGAGCCTTACTTTTTTTCTTAAAAATCACCTTAACTTCAAGGTCGACACAGCATTAAATGGGTACGAGGTAAAATTCCAGGAAGTAAAGATGACCAGGGTGATGTTAACCCGTCACCCCCTGAGTGCTGATTGGCCTAAAAAATACAGCTTTAACAGTATAAGACCAGTCAACCTGAAGGTGTGGGAAAGGGTCCTCTGTTTACTTATTTATACCATTCATATGTTTAGATCCACATCATGATTGGATTGATTTCTGCCAAGAACATTGTTGACTGCTGTTACTGGAAGGAAATATTATTTATCTTAGTATGTCATAGACTTTTACCTGTGACTGCAGTAGCTTTGTACTAGGAACTGTGGAGATGAAATACAGACTGTATTGGAAACTTATTACTCAACTTTCCTTGTGCATTATTTAGTCCAGTGTCTGCCTTTGAAGAACCTTATCTTAGGCCAGTATCTGCCTTTGAAGAACCTTATCTTAGGCCAGTATCTGCCTTTGAAGAACCTTATCTTAGGCTAGTATCTGCCTTTGAAGAACCTTATCTTAGGCCAGTATCTGCCTTTGAAGAACCTTATCTTAGGCCAGTATCTGCCTTTGAAGAACCTTATCTTAGGCCAGTATCTGCCTTTGAAGAACCTTATCTTAGGCCAGTATCTGCCTTTGAAGAACCTTATCTTAGGCCAGTATCTGCCTTTGAAGAATATTATCTTAGGCCAGTATCTACATTTGAAGAACCTTATCTTAGGCCAGTATCTGCCTTTGAAGAACCTTATCTTAGGCCAGTATCTGCCTTTGAAGAACCTTATCTAAGGCCAGTATCTGCCTTTGAAGAACCTTATCTTAGGCCAGTATCTGCCTTTGAAACACCTTATCTTAGGCCAGCATCTGCTTTTGAAGAACCTTATCTTAGGCCAGTATCTGCTTTTGAAGAACTTTATCTTAGGCCAGTATCTGCCTTTGAAGAACCTTATCTTAGGCCAGTATCTGCCTTTGAAGAACCTTATCTTAGGCCAGTATCTGCCTTTGAAGAACCTTATCTTAGGCCAGTATCTGCCTTTGAAGAACTTTATCTTAGGCCAGTATCTGCTTTTGAAGAACCTTATCTTAGGCCAGTATCTACTATTGAAGAACCTTATCTTAGGCCAGTATCTGCTTTTGAAGAACCTTATCTTAGGCCAGTATCTGCCTTTGAAGAACCTTATCTTAGGCCAGTATCTACTTTTGAAGAACCTTATCTTAGGCCAGTATCTACTTTTGAAGAACCTTATCTTGGGCCAGTATCTACTATTGAAGAACCTTATCTTAGGCCAGTACTTGCATTTGAAGAACCTTATTTTGGGGTAGTATCTGCATTTGAAGAACATTATCTTAGGCCATGCTGCCTTTATTGTGGAGATGATACATGACTGACTGATCATATGCTGTTACCTGCTGATGCTTCACACCTTAGGAAGGACATGTTTATACAGATATGTCTACTGTTCAAGCATGTAATTGAGAATGTGTGACTAGTAAGTGAATTTATGAATTGTTTATAGTTGTATCCTTGTCAGTTTGTGTCACATGCTGATGAAGGCTTTCTAACCACAATGTGCATTTTATTGTTGGTGATTGTGGTATTGTGAAGCAAACTGAACTGATATCTTTTCATGATGCCTAAAGTTAGTATTTGCCATGAAACTAATTTTTACTCAGGCCAGTCTAGTCACCTAACAACGGAGCTAACATGGATGCTTGCTTATGTAAAAAAATAATCGCAATCTGCTACAAAACAAACAATAATAAAAAAGTTCATCAAACAACTTTTATTTTCACTGATGCATATTAGACAGATGATTTGTTATTGAACATTTCCACTCAGTTCTATCTTCTTTTCAAACATATTGTTGGCTTATATCTCCGACAGAATTGTGAGGTACCAGCCAGCCAGTGAAAGTGGCTAGAATCCACTTCCCCTCTGACCATCCAATCAAGATGCTATGTGTGTAATTATGCCACAATTAATGATCTGTAAGACAATAAAAGACACACACAAAATGGACATATACAAGTTAGTGTGGCTAAGAGCATTGATGTAGAAAAATGCTAGTTCTGAATTCACCCCTAAACAGGATTCTCTAAATTTTTTTTAAAGAAAATTTCATTTTACTCCCCATTTGATTTAAGGACAAGGGATAAATAGTCAACAATGCTGTGTAATCAGGGCCAGATTGGGTCCCTCTCAATAACCCACCAGAGAAAACTGGCCACATATCAATGTTGTGTTACCAGTGCCAGACTGGGTCCCCACCAGAGAAGACTGGCCACATGTGAATGTTGTGTAACCAGTGCCAGACTGGGTCCCCCACCAGAGAAGACTGGCCACATGTCAATGTTGTGTAACCATTGCCAGACTGGCTGGCTCCCAGGTCAACACAACCGTAACTGGGTAGCAGGCATAAACCTGGGAAGTAAAAGTGGCCATCATGATGCTGACCATATCATCCACTGAGTGCCGATTGGTCAATAAAAGATAGGTCTAGTCCTATATGCCCAATACACTTGAAGGCATGGAAAAGGGTCCTTTACTTACTTATATAACATGGGGGGTTTTATACTGATGACTGCTGATCAATACTGAAATACTGTCACACTAACTATGCACTTAATGGTGCTATGGAAACCAATATAAACTACCATGTTGGATATCTTAAATATGATCTAAAACAATCATTTATGTATGTACAGGCTTCTCTTTTTTTTTTTGGGGGGGGGGGGGGGGTTTATATTTACATTCATAGGCCTTTTACACTGTGACAGAAAATATTCTTTTCTGACATCGTGGGTTCCGGGGCCCCTTTGTGGGGAAAACAAGAATAGATCCACTGCCTCCCCAAAAGCATGTCGTAAGAGTCGACTAATTGGGGAGCTTCCTTTGAAGTCGGAGTGCATCTGCCGGAGAGGCAAGGAACCAACAGTGTGTATTCAAGAGAATGAGATCTGTAAAACTGATGCACACGTAACACTCAGCTTCTGGAGCAGGACTGCAGTTCAGTAGTGGATGAGCAACCAGAACCTTCCGCCAGAGTTTACAGCTGGTGAACGCGAAGAAGAAGAAGACTTGCCATTTCTTTTCTACATAATTTGAAAAACCCATTATTGATAATTTTGTGTGGCTTTCTGAACGCCACCAATTCAAACTTGTGATATCAAACACAAAACAAGCAACACTGTTTTAAGATAAGACGGATGAAGTAGTAGTGTCATGGACATCTATTTTACAATGTTTTGATTTGGTACAGAAGTTTCACAGACAAAGCTGCCTGTTCTTTCTACAGCCACAGAACACAAACATTTCTTTTAACATATTGCACCCAATAATGTCAATAAAAACAGCACAATTACAGCAATTATAAAAAGAATTAGAATGCATACATGTAAGTGAGTACCATAATAACACATACTGGCAAATCTGGGCTACAAGTAATAAATAAATACACTGGGAATAGGCAAAATACAAAGGCTAGTGTATACAGTTGATTAGGTTACATATTTTGGCATAGTTTTTTTTAATACAGCAAAACTGGGATCTGGTAAAAACTAATGAATGTTGTATTAGAACCGTGAAACTCGGATAAGACAATCTATTATTACTGTAACAGGATTGAAAAACTTGGGTAATGTAAAACCAATTTCACTTGTCTGGGACCAAGAACCTAAGATAGGAAACAGCCAATGATTGCTGTCTACAGAAACCCCTAAGGTCGTTCATTATCA